TTGTTTTTACAAAACTCGGGGATATAACCGGGGGTGGGATATAACTGGGTAGGGATATAAACGGGGTACGAGTGTATATTGTAAAAAAAATGGTTTAGCTAAGTTGGGGACCTGCCGTTCTAAGGCGATGACTATTATATAAATTCTACTGCTATATACAGTCAACAATTATGTTTGTAGGACGCATTTTAATTTATCTGTATTTGATTAACTTATTAAACAACCCGTTTGATTGTTGTTGTTATTATTATTTATAGTTAAGTAAAGCTTTATGTTATTGATATTACAACAGTTTTTGTGTGTAGTTACGATAACAAAACAAATAATGCGTTGATATGTCTAAAAATTAGTACCGTTGTAGCCCCATTTAGAAAACTGCGATCAATTAGCCTGATTTGGATTACAGTGGCATTACCGAAGAAATGTTTATTCGATCGACATTTATGGTCAAGCTTGTTTCGGAAATGGAATCTACTGATCGAGGGACGCATAACGCTGTTTACGTTCTTGAATTAGAGTTTTATCTATGCAGCATAAGAATCTCGTGTCGATTGCGAAGAAATGTCTTTAATTCTAGACGTGAGAAATACGCCCATCGAAAATTTTTTTTGTTTATTTTGGCAAACTGTTATTGTGATGTCAGTGTATTCAGTCAATTTATACCTCTGTCTAATAAGCACTATTTTTATGGCTTTATATGTAACAAACAATATACAAACATTTAAATACAAAACATTAAGACGTGCTCATTTAAATATACATGAGTATACAGTTTATGTTTATTGTTACTATTTATTATGTCCCGCCGTTTACAAATAAAGTAATGCTTTAAAAAAGTAACCAATTCGAATTGTAATATATACGCAAGCAAAACTTGTTGAGTGTATAGTTAACTATAATAATAGAGGTTATGTAATAATTCTCAACTAAAACAACTTAGTACAGGACCGAGTCAACTCGAAACAGGTGTAGGTCGAGTGCATTTTTCCCAGAGGAGATCATGACTTTTTTTTCTATATAAACTCGTTGTTATCCTTTGCTTTTCCTTAACCTTTTTGGCATACAGTGAGATTTTATAGTAATATACAATACTTTACGGCTACAAAAAATCATTTATAAACGAAAAAGTATTACTCACTGTTTTCTCATTTCCTTTCTCTAGTTAAACCTTAACTGACCCTTTTGTTCCGTCTCTTTTTCCATTGCCTAATCTTTTTATGAAACTAAGAAAAATGGGATTCTGGAGTCGATGTTGGAGACAACTAAGAAAGACGGGGTTTCGAATTCGGGAACAACTAGTGGGATTCTGGAGTCGATGTTGGAGACAACTAAGAAAGACGGGGTTTCGAATTTGGGAACAACTAATGGGATTTCGGAGCGTGATTTGGAAAGCGGTTCAATTCTTCGTGGGAAATATAATTAGTTACACTATTGGGCCAGCAGCTCCTTTAATTGGAGTTGCCATTTATTCGATTGGAAAAGTGATAAAAAAAATTGGAAGGATATATGATTGTGACTTTGTTGAAAAATTTGGAGATTTCATTGAAGGTGTGGGTTTCTATGCTCTTTTTTGTGGATTAGCGGGCATAATTTTAAGCATTATTGATTATTATTGGTAATTGTTACGAAATTTTAAAGAAACTGAAGGCTCCACTATTACTATGTATTATCTACTATCTGCTGAGTCTTTTTTCTTTCAAGCGGATTGTTTTTGTATGGCTTTTTAAGTTTTGAATGAAAATAAATTGCTTTTTATATGTAAATCTTATGAAGGTTCAAATCAAAGCGTGGGTTTTGAGGAGTTGCATAAAATTAATTGTCTGCAATTCAAAACTTTTAAAAATCGCCGACTTTTAATGAAGACAAAGGTAAACTAACTTTTGTTATGCGTGATAACAAGAATAGCTTTAGAAACTAAAGATTTTTGTATAGGGAAAAGTTATTTTACGGCCTCCCCGCTAACGTGGGTAGGGGCATAGTCATCTTTAAAATGTCTTGATAGAATTTGCAGAGCCTTATGCCGACTATTTATAATCCGAAAACACTAACAAATAACTCGCAAAAGTTCTATTTAAATATTTGTTTCGGAGCCACGGCAGTCAAGGCTTGAGAATAAATAGCTATGGAATTGACGCGTGTTGACTGTATAACAACTCTTTGAGCACAATCGCCAACTAAATCTTTTGCAGTATTAGCTCACGTGCAAGCTAAAAAATTTCATCAAAAACTTTAGGACTCGAACCCTGCGTTCCTTTATTAGTTAAACCCGACGTGCTTGGCAGTCATGGATATTGCTTGTCGGACTTTGAACACTCGACCTTCACAAACAGACACTCTTTACTGGTCCAAAGATAATAATATTGCCGTGCTAACTCCATCGCTGATCCATGTTAAAGTGAGTATGTGTATGGGTATTCGCGAGATTCGGCGTTCCCTCGAAGTATGACTGAAAGTACGGAATCGTCAACAGAGGCTAGTATATAAGGGTTCCAGCGAGTCGGATCATAGTCGACTAGTAAATGCAGGTACCATATTTTGTGAGAGTACAGACGCTAAAAATCATATTCGGGCGAATGCGAATGGTATGTTCTTTTACTCTATACTATGTTTTATAGTAAATTATTTGTATTAAAATTGCATGATACTTTCAGTATGGTCAGCTGTCGTCAAGAACCTAGTTGGTGAAATGTTTAAATGCCTCGCTTGGTCCCCACCAAGTTGCTCAACACACGGGTAATTAGTTATCACTGTGATTATGACGAATAACACGCAAACATTCTGAAGAGCACGCTGTTTAGGTGCTTACTAGCCACAATCACAACAAATTATTATGTGGCCATATTTCGCCCTAGTGGTAGCTTGATGCATCCCAAATGGGAAGAGGTAAGATACAAATATATACAATTGAGGACGTGAAATCCTCATAACACAAACGTCTAACCATATCACAGGTTAATTGTATCTCAAATCGTCTAGTGAGCTATTACAAAGGGATCGGTCATCTACCAACGACGATCGAAAATTCAATGGCATTCGAGTCCATATGTAAGTATTCCTTCTTTGTGAAATAGCAGTCTTTTGCACATTAATATTAACGTAACGGTTGTGATTATACCAGCCCTGTCATGGTCTCCTCAATGCTTCTGTAAGGGATTTATGCCATTATCAATCATAGCGTTGGGAAGCAAAGCTGGCACAATTACTTTGTGGAGGTTGTTATAATAAACATTATGAGTATCTTTCAAATTTCTTCGTCTCTAAAATTTGTCAATATTCTATATCTCACACATGCACAGTTATACTATTGACGCTAATCTTGTTTATAAGATTGATGCGTGTCGGTCCTGGATAATTACTTTGGAATGGTCGCGCTGGTGGACAATTGACGAGGATACTTGTAAGTTTGTACTGACGTTTTGATTATATGGTCCCAGCGGCTTAGCATAACTTTATTCGGTTTTTAGTTACTTCACTGCTGATAGTTGGATGTCTCGATGGGTCTTATTCTTTGTGGAAAGTAACACTATATTATAAAAGATCAGAGCTATCTGATCAGGAGGAGGATGAGCTTGTAATTAATGCGGAGAAAGGAGCAGTCTTACTTGAAGCAGACAAACGAGAGCCTTGTTTAATAAAATGGTTTAAAGATAAGGTTATTATTTCAAATCGTGTATTTGATTATACGGCTAGAATAATATATTTACCTTATTTTTTCAATTCACAGCGTAATCAACGCGATAAGCTTGCTATGAGTAAAATGTCTACACTATTTATATGGATGCCAACACTTCCTGTTTATGACAACTTCGAATCCATCATGCCAATCACTTTTAATTTCCCTGATACTGTGCTCATTACCGGTAAATAGATGATTTATTTCTCCTCCTATGGTCTCTTCCCGTTAATTGAATATAGCTTATCGCTCGACTGGAAACCTTTTAGGCATAAGCTGGAATAACGATGGAACTCAACTAAGCGCTTTCAGCTTGGAAGGAAAACAGTGGATTCTCGACATTTCAGATTCTGGCATATCGATTAATAAAGCCGCTACAGAGCGCTTGAGGAAAAATGTAGAAGATCAGCTAAAAGACGCTTTTCGGAAGGTAATGGCCGACGAAAAAGATTCCGAAAATGAAAGCGATGACGGTGAAGGCGATGATGATGTTGGTTCTCCACCACCCTTTAATTTTGATGGACTTGACAGTAACTTTGATGAGATGACGAATGAAGATGACGAAGATGCTGCTGAGGAGGAAGATGAAGAAGAAGAAGAAGACAGTGTTAGGCTTAGCACAAGTAAAAACAGCAAATCTAAGAAGAGCAGTGAGAACAACAGGTCAGATTACGAAGAGACTATGGTCGAAGACAGTATTTCAAAAAGTCGTGAAAAAGACAATGCAACAAATAGCGAGAACATGGACATAGATGAAGGAAAGACGTATACGTCAGATTTGTTAATGCAACCACAAATGCTTGGAATAGACGCATCGGCTAATGGAATATTCGTGGCCTTTGTTTTCGCGTACGTTTACTTTTTATGCTGTATGGCTTTTTCGTAATTACAAAGCGTACTTGTTCTGATACATGTTTTTGTCTGTCCTTAGGGTGATATCTGGGTGTGACATGGATTATTTGACGACAAAATCAAACAAATCATATCTGTGTTTTGTCCTGACCGAAAACGATGAACCTGATGTAGGCGTAATAGAAACGTACTCTAACGATCTTGCATTGTCAATCGAGAATAGATATTTGAGTGAGAATTCATACTACTGTTTATCTACTTTATATTCATGTATTATTTTTATTGATGGTTTTTTTTCCCTAGTTCTGGAAGCATCACCCGCTTACCTTCTCTGGGATTTACTCGAGTATGCTGATTTCGAACTGCATTTTGATGAACCCGATAACTTTTTTGAATCTCTGGTGAAAACTTGTGAACGGCAATACACGAAATTTTCTGAAATGTCGCTGATAGACTGGTGGGAGCAAATATCTGAACTCGATATTCTGTACGTCTGCAAGGTGATGCGAGTGTTTACGCGCATAAACAGTAAAGGTGACTGACATTTTCAATTTATCATAGGAATTCAAGTACAGAAGATTTAATTGAATTATGGAGAGATTTCTTTTATGGTGACTGCGCTTTCAATGCGCGACGGCTTATTATATATCTCTACAGTTCAATCAAGGTAATTTTGGTGAATAGACTTTACGTGTTGTAAGTTTTGACTGTCAATATTTACTTTTCTTAAGCACTTAGAACTTAATAGTGAGCTTCTATCCAAATCAGAAGGGATGAAATATGAGCACATATCGCTGATTGAAAAGCAGCAGCTGAACATTATTTTAAAAGTGACTAGCTACGCTCTTAGTGTCGGTTGTATAATAGATGATGGTAAGAATACTTTTTGATTAAACTGGTGGGGAGAATGCCCATTTATTTTGAATAACGAAATAACACTATTTCGATTTAGTTGGAGATCAACGGTTTATATTGAGCGCCTGTGATTACGCACTCTTGCGCCACAAAGATGATAAGTCTTTACTTCAATTAGCCCAATCTGTCTATGAAGCTATGGATAAAACACCGACCGACTTTGGAAGTCTTGAGAAAGAAAGGAGTATAATTTCACAGCTGTTGGTGTCTAATGGATCTATGGATGTTAATATACAAATTCCCGCACGACACGTGTGTCCTATCTGCACAAGTGATATCCTTCAAAATCGCCATTTGATGCATAATGCATGTTCTATCTCAATTTGACTTAATCCTTAATTCCAACTAACGCGTCAAGATGATTTTGTTAGAAATAGGAGCAGGTGGAGTTTGTGAAAAGGGACATTTATGGGGTAAGTCTACCTGCGGTATTAAATACGCTTCAAGCAGGCAATAATCTTAATTAATGTAATTTGTTTACAGGGCTATGTTCGATATCATTTGAAATATTACCCGGGATGCACATACGATCATGCCTTGCTTGTAATCATAAAGCAAGTGAATTACAGGTTGTCGAATCTTCTAGATGGATAAACATCGCTCTCAATGCGTGCGAATTGTGCATTTTCTGTGGAAACGCGTTTGTTTTTAAAGTTTCATGACATGAATTTAAATCGATAAAGGAAATGATTATTCCTTGATTACGGCTTGAATGATAAAATAAATAATGACAATAGTATTATGATAATTTGGATGGTATCTTTAACACAATAGACTCGCGCCCTATTCGTATGTGAGATTCGTAAATGAATTTGTTGCAAAATTCGTTTGTTTTGATAATGACATACAAACTCGAGGGATGACGGGTTGTCCAAAGACACGAAGAGTGATAACGAGGAAGAAACTGTTTCCATAAAGAACTATTAGAATGCTTGATTTTGTGTCCTTTATTAGACTCAACGAAGGTGGACCTCTAAAGTTGCTTTGTATCAGAATGCTTAATTTCTCGTTCATCGATGCAAATAATGTTATTAATAGTACGCTCCTTACAGAAACAGGTACTAAAAACCGTGTCAATAACCAATGTTTTGTCATCAGAATGTGGCTTATATCTTTTTTCCTTTCAACTATAATGGTAAGTTAAAGTGTTCATTGCTCTTGCCAAATAAAGTGGAGTGGAAAGATTTCTTAAATTATTGCCGCATTGTAGTAGAAACAATAATATAAATAGCACGATTACTGAAAATGGTGATGAACCCAAAATCGAATCTTATCGAATAAGTTCTATTGTTGACAAGTATGTATTGAATACAAGAGTGATAATGAATGAAAATGGTGATAATGCTTAATGTAATGACACACCACTGAATGACAACTCATTTGTAGAATGCAAATGACTGTTATGTGACATACAAAATGTTAATATTATGCTGTCATCTCATGGTCATGTCTTTTTTTTTTTGTACACATTCTTCTCTTTCTTGGGCTGCAACTTCTTTCATTGTCTTGCTTCTTTACTTGTAAGGCAGCCAATTGTAACAATAATATTAATGCGGTCCCCGGCGAAAATAATGGCGGTGACAATCGTTTTTATGGTTTTATAAATTCGATTATCCGTTATTATAAATGTATTATTATTTTTTTCTTGTTACTTAATACGTTAAAAATAACATGTCTTTATATTTGCATTTTTAATACTCTCAGTTTGATTTGAATAAACCATAAGCTTATAATAACTGTCTCAAATCTACTAAGATGTTCGCGTTTTTAGACTTGTTAATTAAAATTTAGAAGATCATTAATCGAAAAATATGATTTTGCTTGATATAGTCTGACTTGTTAATGTAAAATAGCTTTTACATTTACTTTTTGTCAACTTACTCGGAATTTTATCTATAAAATTAGATTTAAATTAATATAGATCTAAAAAGAAGCCACCATTAATCTTGATTTTTTGATATTAGTCTTGAACTTCTGTTAAATAAAGTAATGTAAGAACAAAATTGATAAATCGGCCGCCATTATTTTCGCCGGGGATTGTAGTATACTAACATTGTTTTTTTATTTAAGACAGTCAAATACTAATGCAACATTTTTAATTAGTATATTTAGAGGTTATAATGACTGTTTTCCATGTTTAACATCAATGCACCGGATTTATTGTCAAAATTTTTCACTCACGGGTGAGTCTGAGTTATGTATTTATTAAAAAGAATGAAATGTTTCATATAAACATCTGCTGTAAATTGACAATAATAATATTGTTTCGCCGAGATAATAAATAACTCCTTCTTTCCTCCTCTGACTATTTATCACATTAAAGCGTTAACATGACAGACTTCTTTCACTGTAGCAATATCACGTCGACTGACAAAACTACCAATTATACCCGAGATAATAAATAATTCCTCTTCTCTTCCTCTGACTATTATTTTATATAAACATCTGCTGTAAATTGATAATATTAATTCGATATAACTATTGTTTTAATAATTATCCCCAAGATAATAAATAACTCCTCTTCTCCTCCTCGGACTACTTATCACATTAAAGCGTTAACATATTTCATCCGAAAGGAAGATACGTGCGTACACATACTGGCCAAAAGTATTGGTCACTCATTGAAATTTACTAGAGTAAAACATAGTAAACCCCTTTAATTTTGAAAATCTCTATCGTCCATACGTATTATGTAAGTCGCGGTGATTTTTGTACCGTTTTGAAGCTAATTGATTGTATTTTTCGAGAAAAAAAAGTGTGGAACTCAAATTATCTACTGTAATGAAGGAGTAGTCCGATGAAGTGGCGCATTTATCTACACATATAATTTTCATACGGTTTCATATGTGTAACATGAATATGTCGTATGTAAATCCCATCACTATGTAAATCCGTCACTATGTAAATCCCGTCACTATGTAAATCCCGTCACTATGTAAATCCCGTCACTGTGTAAATCCGTCACTATGTAAATCCCGTCACTATGGGGTCCCTAAAAACCGCATTTACATATTAATATGTAAGTCTGGGATTTACAGTGACGGGATTTACATACGACAAATACAACTTGCATAGTACGCATGGACGATAGAGATTTTCAAAATTAAAGGTTTTTACTATGTTTTACTCTAGTAAATTTCAATGATGACCAATACTTTTGGCCAGTATGTGTAGCTCATGGCTATGTCATTCTAATTCTTGAGGATTATTCTGTATCGGTTGTGACAAATTTACATACCACTGACACTTAATATACTTATTGACTAGTGTAGTCGTTCGCCACAATACCCGTTCTTGTCGTTCTCATAACGTTTACGCTTGGCATTGTATGTCAAGTGGTGGGGCGACACAGGCTTCGGATATCCAATCGCCATCCGCTTGGAAGTTATTGAAGATGAATACGATTTTGTGGTGGACATAGATTCGGATATCCATTCGCCACAATACCCGTCGTTCTCGTTACGCTTGCCATTGTTAAAGAGATTATTGAAGGTGAATATCCATTCGCTACAATAAACAGGTTGTCCATTCATAAGTTGCGGTCCGATCGTCTGAATTGTAGTAACCGATAGCCCCCTTCGTTAATCGTGCTTTTGAACAAAGAATGGTGACCCGAAGCTGATAACCACATGTACATGCATATCTTTAGTGGGTGGCTTATCTTCCGGCCAGTAATCGCTTCTGTGGGCAGTTGATTATCATTTCAGAGACAAATGCTCATCATACTTGCACCTTTAGCGTTCAATCGTAGGTGCAACTAATGAAGGAACGCAAAACTCCAAATGCTCATCATACTTATGGGAAATGTAATAAAATCCTGGAACTATGTACTGTGGGTAACACCATAACGGCTAGTGAGATTTTTTAAATACGGTGTTGCCCACAAAGTGTGATAATGTTGTGAGATGGAATACATACTCTGCCAAAAACGAAGATAATAGTTTTTCCGTCGAGTAGGACGGAACCATAGTTGTTATTTTAGCATCAGGTGTTCCGATAGATACTGCAGATCCGTCTTATCCGGAAGTCATGTAATACATTGCTTTATTTTGTGATATATTATTTCTCGTATAAACTCCATTGCCTATGAAGTATTGTAGGATGCCGACATTTATTCCAATATGCGCTCAAGAAGCATGACCAATGAAGATATAAAGCATAATATTGATAACGTAATAGTAAGATTCAACACAAAGATTTAAAGTTTCAAAATCATATGCAGGGTTACCTACTATTTTTATTGCCCCATCACATTCCCGTTACACATAAGACAGAAATGGCTTCTTACTCTAGAAAGGTGAGAATTTCCTTTTTTAAGCAGACCCTTCTTGTGTATCAAAAGTTATTTTTAGGCAACACTTCTCCGAAAAGAGTTTTCAGTTAATATGGAGGCGCTCTCATCATTACTATCACATAATAGTAATGACAAGTTGCATCGAGTGCCGTCTAATTGAATTAATTTGTTGTATTTAACTAATCGACTCGAGTGTGTTTTAACATCATTGTTTTATATATCATCGATATCTTGCAAGTTTTTAGTAATCCAAGACAAATTCAATACTCTTAGATTAAGTAAGCCTGTATCTCTAGAGTTCGCATAAAAAAATCCCTTTTTTATTTGGTACCTGCGTCTCGCTTGTAAGACTCCGAACTGTTTCATATCCTGTACTCACCATATTTTGATGTAAAGTTTTTTTAAAAGATTCAGGTGTCGCTAACATTCCGCTATAAAGCCCATACTTTTTTTAAAGAATCTCATCCGACTCATAATTAAGAACATCGACATTAGCTATTATTACTTTCTATTTCTTTCGTTTTAGAACCTTTTTTTTTTTCAGTTATTGTTTCAGAAATTTTATATCTGCATTTCTTAGAAATCGATCCGGAAAAAAAATCTACTTTTGAATAATAAATGCTTATATGAATTTATTATATATGATGAATGAATTACGAATGGATGAAACGTGCAAAAGAACACAATTAACATTGAGAAATATATAAGCAAGGATTTGAAATAACCAAGCTATAGTATCATTAAAATTTCCCCCAACCAGACGACGCTTTAAAAAAAACAATATCAATATCGGCATTACTCTTTCTACCAAATAAAGCTTTTTCTTTTTTTTTTTTTAAAAAAAAAAGCTCCCTCGAGAGTAAAAGATGAGATGAGATAACACACGCATACAATAAGTACACTATAAAGATTTATGGAAGTAAACTACCAAACACATGCATCGTGACTGTTTCCAATGTAAAGACTCTTTTTCTCAGAAAAATGCTACCTCTTATGCTTCCTTTCTTTTACTAACAAAATGACTAAAGGCGTGCTGCTATGACGAAAAAATTTGATAGTATTTTCTAACAGAAAATTTTTTGCATTAACTATCGATCACTTTGATGTAGGGGGTATTAAAGACATGTTTGCTTTGCTAGGGAAATATTGCAACCTTTTCTTTATTATCAAATTTAAGTTTACAAACTAAATAATAACGGCAGCAAGATTTACAATTTGTTGAAGGGAAAAAGCTAAACGTTGAGTAAATTTTTTAAAACAAGCATTTAAAATAATTGAAAATTTTCTTTCCCAATGTTTAGTAATTTATCAAACCGTTCGAGCATATCAATTAAGTTCAATTGGACAAATAGAAACGCCTTTAACAGATCAAACAAGGATGACACAAAGAAAAAAAATCCGCCAAACACAATCATATATTTGTGCATCGGTCATATATAATAGAAAAACGTGGCAACAACAAAGTCGGTCGAAAATGGAAACCGAACGACACGTTGTCCCTAGTTTTTACTTTGTTTGGTATATACCCCTATTTCGACTTTCGTTAAACAATTACAAATTTTAATAAAATTTTGATACAATAGGGACAATGTATTATCGTTATTATTGTAGACCTTGGCTTTACCGCTTATGCATATATTTGATGATATTTCAGCCGACATCGGATCTTTCGATTAAAAGATCCGATGACATAATAAATGCGTTCTGTATCACCTAAACCTATTTATAGAAAGGTATTGTGCTGTTTACATGGCTAATACAATTCTCCAGCAAAATGGCTCTTTTCTCACTGCAAAGTGATTAAATATTACCTGGTGAGCTATCTCACTTAAACGTACAGACATAGACAGTAGTACTCTCATCACTCAAAGACAGTTTTAATTACACGTTGTCAATCTTATAACGTATTTCTAGAAAGAGCGATATATGGCAAAAAAAAAAAACAATTAAAAATTAAAAACTTTTTTGCATTTATACTCGCTGGTTTTCCAATGCTGATCGTTCGATTATTTTCACAATAAATAATTCTGTATGTCGAAAACTTTAAACTGGGGCCCTACAGCTCAGAGTTGATAAGCGCAATTGTTTACCACTATATATAGTAATTATACATAAGCGAATGGCTGTCCACTTGTTAGTACTTGCTCCCTTGGACTATGCATTTAGTTTTTATTTATTGTTATATTTCATATCCCCTTTTGTTCTCGCTGGCCTGATGTTTGTGATCACGAAACTTTCTCATTCTGTATTAACACAAGGATTAGCTGCAAGACATTGTGGTTTTGTGTTTGGTTTGTTGTTTTGTTTAACAAACCGATCTCAATTGACGGACGGAATTTCCGGTGTTTGTGGGTTGGATAGAATTTGGGATGTGACCAGGTAGCAACCGGAAGTAATTTTTTTTCCGCATTCACATACAAGATTCATCCCTGCATTTACCCCTTTCCGCAAGCTCCAAACATTAGTTAAACTTCATTCTGCAGATTCAGGATCATCTCATAGATGACGTTCGCAGCAGCCCATATTGTTATACACAGAAGTTAAAATTAGTTGGCACTTTAATTGGAGTGTGAAACTATGTACCACAATAAAGTGTCTGATAATGTTCTAACCAAATCAAGTTAGGTTAGTCCGACCGCAGTTGATTGGTGAAGCTGCCCATTAAAAATAGGAAAACGTGCACGCAATGACCCGAACCGTTATTATGATCGATTGGATTCATGCAACACCAAATTGGCAATGGTGTATAATGATGCAAAATAACAATAACGCCTCCAACTCTTCAAGAAAAGTTACATGTGCTGTTAGCATCAATGAACGTATTGAATCAATTACTACTACTAATCAGCAAACTTGATTCGAACCGACAAGAGATTAGCCAAATCAAAAAGAAATTCAATGAGCGATAAATAGCAAACACTTTGATTTACAATTTTGTAAACTATGTTATTAATATAGTATTAGTAATTTGGTTTACTGTCAGTCAAACTGTACGTATATAGGGACATGTAGTGCATATATTTCATGACTTAACAATGACAAAGAAATTACAAAGCATGGGTTTTAACTAAATGAAATAATGCGAGATCTTTTATCTAAATGTCCTAATTATGTTGATGGTCGCAATGCGTTTCGGTAATCTTGCTGTAAACTAATAATTATGCAATGCTACAAGAGCACTTATAAACATGCAAAGCCAATGATTAAATAAAATCTGCTTCGGGATAATTATTGTAATCGTTATCATGAATTTCAAATATTTAGCCAAGAATTATTATTTATTTTGAAAAAAAAAAAGACAAACAAACTTGAATCACACAAAAAGTCCCCTATCACTTTTTATGTTTGATCTAGCAAATTAGAGAAAAGTGACAATTAATACTCGATTTAGAGTAGTTTGGAAAAATTTCCAGTGACAAACTAAAAAAGGAAGTTAATATTCGATCTGTGCTTTGAAGATAAGCAGCCTTCTATTGAACAGTATGACGTACAAACAATAAAGTATAATTATAATTATGAATCAATATCAAGTGATTGTTAATATCTTTGAAACCCTTAGTAATCTCATATGATCTATTTTTCTTTTATAAATAGATTCGTGTGGCTTGGGCAAAAAGTTCATAAAGAGAACAAACAATACACAGTAATAGTACAGTACAGGCAATGACATATTTGGATATTGCGATGTTATATGACATATGTGTTTATCAATCGCTTCACGACAACAATAATGAAGAGCAGCTTGTTGATGACTATATTGTTAATATTAAAGCATGGGAGTGTGATTTGAACACGGGACCCAGTCTTCCAAGACCCCTCGCTTAGCTGTTATAATATCGCCCGAAGACTAAAGCGATGGGTATGATCTGCATCGGCACATGCAATGATGCATTTATATATGGGATGTTTAATATGCGCCAATCCATTTTATAGGATAATGGCCGAATATTCTTCGAAAGGGGTATGCTCGCTAATTATAGATTCTGTTCTAGGCTAAATATTATGATGTTTCGATCACGCTTGGCGATATGAATTCATCCGATTGACACAAAGAACAATATTGTCAAATGAGACATACTGAAGAAAAGAGTAAATTAGTTTTAGAACATGTCGGTATGAGGGGAGCGTATGCCAACGCATCCGATAAGTACAAAATTAATAATTCATATTCCCGAACATAATAAAACTAGACATATAAGGTAACATAAATTTCTGTTTGGCTTTCAATTACATTATACTGTATCATATTGTATCTGTGTATTCCACCAATTTAAAATAGCAAGCACGAAGGCGACACAGGAAACAGTCTAGCAGGTTTAGTAAAGTATGCTATGCCCTTGTTCTTACCATAATTGAAGCCATTCGTGAAAATGCCTCGTCTTGTTGCTATACCATGTTCTACACTTGTTTCAATTGTGCTTGTTCCCCCACTGTTGGTGCATTCCCCCGCTATCTTCAATTTCTTAACATGCACGCAATAGATTGTCTAATCGACAGGCCATAACTTAAATCATAACACACCATTTCAATAGCGTTGTGCAATAGGCTGTAATTTATATTCCAATAAAACAACACACACACACAACGTTTCCTATGTTAGCTTCTAAATTTAAACCAATGGACACAATAGTTTATTGATATCCACAAACTGCTATTACTGTCTATATTTAAAACTATATCGAAATAATTTATATACCACTGATGACCCGAACCCTTCAGTAACACACAGATGAATAAACTACTCCTAAACTCCACATACTACATACATACTACGCTACTTTAGTTTTAGCAACAAACTGACTCTATCCTCCAAGTTTGGGGCTTTCCGCTTTATCATCCCTTTCCACATCGAAGGAACACCATCTATATATATATACATATACATATATATTTTAACATTGCATTGGATGAAATCCCTTCTTGATTTTTTAATCGCGCTGTTGGTTCCCTTCACGACCATCATATCAATTCTCTTTATATCCGCTGCATTCCTTCTATACTGTATAATATTCTTTACTATATCCGCTATATTATTTATACCCCTACAGATTGGAAAGATAATAACAAGGTTGGGTTTTGAAGAACAGCAACCACGACATCGTCACTCGAGAAATAAGAGAGCAGAACAAAGCGAATTTTTACACTCGAGCGAAAGACTTGGCAGAGAAAAATCATCCAAAAGAAGAACCTCAACAGGAGAACAATCAAGAGAACGGCAAAGAGTGCCGTCAAGAGAGTCGTCAAGAGAGCATTCCCAGCAGAATCTCCATCACACACAACTACAACGTATACAGCGTTTACAACAACTACAAACTCAACTGACGCGAGATATCAACCAATTTACCCAAGAACAGGTAGATAGAATACGAACACAACGCCAACAACCCAAGTCTAGAGGACTGTTACAACAACATCTCATACAACAACACCAACAGGCGCAGCGAAGACAGCAGCAATAATCCTTTCCAAAAAATACACCGTGTAATATATTTGACAACAAACTCATATTCACATACTTGACTTGCAACATATCAATAAATCGCAAATTACATCCATCACCCCTCTCATATACATACAATGGCAGCTCCCGAAGAATTGGTCACTTTTTCACGAATTCGACTTGCACAAGCCCTAAAGGAAGATCCAAAGGACCCAGAGCTGGTCCATAAATCCGCATTATTCATACAACTTCGCAACAGACAACCCCAAACATTAACACAATCACAACATAACATACCGCGTCCCCAATTTCTAATTGTACCTCCAACGCTTGGAAACAGCGAGTATACCGTCCCCAGCAACAATATTGTGAACGAAAATAACAATCTGCTAGCTGCGAATAATGGCGGCGCCAATTCAAAATCATATGATCCATTCCGAAAAAGCAGAATATATTCATCTCCATCTCTACCCTCCCTCCCCGTTTCCCGACAAACACCAAATCATTCACCGAGCGGAAGCGTATCTTCAATCTCGTCATCTCCCATCCCCCCTGCTCCGCCTATATCATATCAACCCCAACCACCACCACCAAACAAACAGAACGCGTTAATAGGTACTGTATCCATCCAGACACAAAGGCCGACAACTCTGATGGATGTCAGGAAAAGCATTCTGGACAACAGGCAGATGTCGATAGCATTCTCTTCTGCGAACAGTCATCGAACATCGAGGCTTTTGCATCAGAAAAGTTATTCAGGTAAAAGCGTTTACAAAAAATTTTTTTCTATTATAATGACGTAATTTTTGATATATACAGTTAGTCCATTACCGAGTAAGAATTATTTTTATACTAACTTTCACTCTCCCCAATAGATGTAAAGACTCAACAACAACTACAACAACAACAACTACAACTACAACTACAACAACAACCTCTTTCAAGATCTCCACTCTCTCATGCCAACTCGTCCTCAAGTTCCCTCCCATTATCGCTTGCAAGCACATCAAATCAATCCTCTTCCCGGCCTAATTCGATCTTCGGCCAAAATCGCCCAAACGCGAGTCCAAACTTACCGCGCCCAACATCATCGTACAGTAACATGTCCAGACCACTGTCGGTACACAGTTTGGGCAAAGCGAATTCGAGGCCACCGAGTATTTGGGGATATGTACCACCGGTGGATTCGAGTGAAGAATCGTCGGAAGAATCGTCAGAAGGTGAAGAAGAGAGCGGAGATGAGCAGGAGAGCACTAGCGACGCCAAAAATAACAGCCGTATACGCAACGAGACTACTAACAAGAAGACGATGAAACCCGCTTCTAGGGCATCAAATCTTCCAATGCCACCACCATTGTCACAACCCAAAGGCTACAAACCCCCCTCACCAACCTCTTCACCGACCCGCACTTCGCCGACTCGCACTTCACCGACTCGCACTTCACCTAATCGTACTTCCCCAACCCGAACTTCTCCCACCCGATCATCAACAAGATCACCCGAAAATGGTGAGGATGATGTAAAAGTACATACCCCGACGTCGATGTCGATTTTGGAAAAGGTGGAGGAAGAAAAAAGCGATGAAGAAAGCGATGAAGAAAGCGAGGAGGAAAGTGACGAAGAAGGAAGCGACGAGGAAAGCGAGGAGGAAAGCGAGGAAGACAGTGGGGAGGAAAGTTCAGATAGTGATACTCCATTGGCATTAAGGATGGACGCGCCTCCAAGGTTTTCTATTCTATCGTCATCAGGGAAAAAGTCTCCTAGAGTTGAGGCGTGGGTTAGCGATGGTAAGTTTTACGAATTTAAATCAACGTATCTGGCATTTTTCCTGTACTCACCATTTTGTCATCGATTCACTTTACAGTTTCTCGACAGTCTCTTGTAATCGACTCCCGTACATTTAATCCGAGAAAACAGAGACAGTCACAAGTTATGGGTGACTCAAGACCGAGGAAGACATCACTTACGCCCGATTCGGTATTCGATCCGAGGATGCGTAGACCGAAGTCAGCGTATACTATGGATGAAAGTGATTTCCGTAAGTTATCGTGATTTGGGTGGATTGTACGATACTCTGAAAAATTCAATTGAAAAGAATCGCGGTGTTTAGGATTTGTCTTTCAGTTTCCAACTTATTTACTGACCTCTCACTATAATAATCTAGTCCCACCACAACCCCAATATAGGAAACGCAGTAACAGTGAATTCGCTCCGGGCAGCAGTTCACAATATCGTCCTATCTCTATGTATTCTGCAGCAAGAGCTTCACCACCTCTGTTGCTTTCGACACCAGTTCAACTCCCTAAAGCAGATAATGATGATTGGGCACAGGACACTCTTCTTGCATTATCCACGAAAGTTCCGTCATCTACTTCTCCTATACCACCACCACAGAAACACAGAGTCGTTCGTTCGAGTGCATCGATGACAAACCTTCGTGCGGGCACACCTCCTTTATCACTTCCAGCGCCGCCGAGATCTCCGGGTGAATTTTATATTCATCATTCGCGGAAACAGAACGGAAGCAATTCTTCTTTGAACAAGCTTGTTTTAAATGGAGAAGGCCGAAGAGAAAGAGGTGATAGAGATAGGATGGATAAGAGAGCACGGGAGAGAAGTTATTCAGCCTCATCACAGCAGCCATTACAGCAGCAAGGAAGAAAGCGAGATCATTCCGGGCTAGGATATGGTCCCGTCGGAACGCCGTCACAGGCTATTAACCGAATAAGCATGTATGGTGGCGCTGCACACAGGAGGGTGGCGAGTGATCACATTTCTAAGGGTGATAATATGATGTATTATAGGCAGAGGAAAGATTTACAAACGTAGAGTGAGAGAGGATTGGAGTAATTGAGGAGCTATGCGTGTGAAAGATCTTTTAATGCTTAGAAAAACACAAGTGTGATGAACATTTTTTCGTCATACTGCGAACAATTTGACTTTTTTTTATTTCCGTCCCGTCTTTACTTTGTGTTATCTGGATGATAATATAATGTTTATTTATTGCTGTGTGGACATTGGGTGATTCTGGGAATTCTTTTTTGATAAATAATAATAGTTGGGAAACGAAAAGATTATCATTGATCTAATTGATCTATGATATGTGTAATGCAACCAAAAAAAATGCAGAAATCGTGTAACTAATAAAGGTCGCGCGAATCACCGAAAACACTTGCAACATATGCAAACTGCATCTTAAAGTTTTGACTTGCCAAATTAATATCGAGTTTCTTTTGCATTGTAACTTTTGCCTTTTTATTTTTGATCACATCATGTTTCCATATACGGATACGTTATGCATGAATGAAAGACAAAAATGGCTAAGGGAGATCTTTTCGAGCTATTTATTTGAACCCAGGAAAATACATCAAATCACACCCAATTTGTTTAGACACAAAGACATGCGGAAGTTGGTTACTTCTTTCGTTAGATCACATTCGTAGGCATATCCGGTAATAGTTAATGTGATTTTCCTATGTTTTGGCCGGCTATACCTTTTTTGTCCAAACGCACATTCATGACCATTTTTTTCGGGTGCTCATACTTGTCCCGATCTTGACAAAACTTTAATCTCTGAATAGATTGCCGGATATAAATTCTTAGTAAGGAGTCCACGAGATTACCGTCTTTGACATCTGAAATCAATTATGCAGAGACAGAGAAATTGTGTTTGATTTATATATATATTTATTTATTTATTTACAAATTATCGGAAACACTTTCTAAAAAAAGGTCGATTATAGGTTTCAAAACTTTCCGCGCGCACGTTGTATCAGAGAAAAGGCTTTCTGATTTTTAACTCTTTCAAAAACTTTGACAGTTTTCGAGCAAAGCAGACTATCACACAATATCTATATTAATAAAGCACAATGAAAAATTCAAAGACTGTAGAAGAATGGATTATCACAAAAGACGGTTGTAGCGTGTATACAAAGTCGTGGAAGGTATGCAAGCATGGGGAAAGGAGAGAGTGTATGGATTGGAGAAAAGGATACCGAGACAATTGTACGAGCTAGTAAACTAGATTATATCAAACACACCTCACCCACCGACATACACACCCACCCACACACATACATACACACATGTTTACCTATAATTTAATTATTCTTCAACCCATGATTTCAAGACGGCAGTCCAACCACCGCTGGCAACCATGGTCTTCCTTCACGGCTTTGGCGAACACATTAACCGCTACAATCACATGTTTCCAAGATTCACCCAAGCTAATATTGAAGTTTACGCATACGATCAGAGAGGTTTTGGAAAGACTGGGTTGAAAAATCAGAATTTAGGCATTACGGGAGGATGGAAGGTCATCAAGGAAGATATCACAGATGCCTTGAAGGTTGCAAAACAACCCGGCGTGCCATTGATCTTGTTTGGACATTCGATGGTGGGTAATAATGTGTGATGTGAGAAATTGAGAATGGGAGAGAGAGAATTTAATACACTATACTAACATACATACATACATACATACCAGGGTGGCACTCTCGCACTTCGTTACGCAGTCGAAGGTTCTGAATCTAAAAATATCTCGGCTCTTCTTATTACTTCTCCACTGCTGAGCACAGACAGAGTCAACGATTCAGCAGTAACAATAGGGACTGGACTATCGAAAGTATTGCCGAATTTGCAGTTTAATACCAAGATAGACATCAAATATGTATCACGTGATCCGAATGAATGTCTCAAGTATGCCAACGATCCGTACAATCATCCTTACTGGAGCTTGAAAGGAGGTAAAAAAAAAAAAAAAGAAGAAGCGATCCCTCTTTTCTTTCTTTTAAACATAAAAATAACATACTTGTTGTAACCATCAATCTTATCATCACTAGCAAGCGATGTGTTTCGTGGTGCAAAGTCGGTTTTGAAATCAGGGTACGAGAAAATCACTCACCCTATCTACCTAGCGCATGGCACTGGTGATCAGGTGACATCCTTTGATACATCCAAAGAGTTGTACGAAAGACTACCTTCCACCGATAAGACTTTTAGGGTATGGACAGGACTATTTCATGAGAGTAAGTAGTGTGTTGTATATTCATCGTTGTGTGTATTGTGTGTATGGACAAGGACGCTCTTTGTTGACCTTCGTTGTGCGTGTGTGTGTTTTCTTTTTCTAGTGCATAACGAACTTGAGAAAAATCAAGTGATCCAAGAGTACATTGATTGGGCAGTATCGCGCGCTAACAAACTCAGACGATATCCATTTGATGTCGATGATACTAATACTAATACTGTTGATGATACTAATACTAATATTGTCGATGATGCTAATACTAATACTATCGATGATGCTAATACTAATACTACAACTTTATCAGGTTAAGAAATTGTGCGAAAGAGTTTCATGACTACATAGAACTAGTTTTAACTGCCCAAGTACTGTTTATAATAATTACCTCCCTTAACGAACAGTACAGTTTATTTTTGCAGTAAAGTAGCAAATAATTTAACAATGTTTCGATTGAAGACTAGAAGTAATTCAAGCTTGCATGCGATAATTCGAATGGAGAAAACGTAATTATCTTACTGCTCTTGTATTCGCTATCTAATTAAATTTTGTGCAGAATAAGGAGAACAAAGACTAAATTACAATTGACCGCACAGTTATGTAGAGGATATGATAGCGTTTGATTTGTCTTACGATGCAGGGGAAAAGTTTCAATTGCAAAATCTATTAATCCAAACGACTGTTCAAATATCATAAAAATAATCTTGTATGATTTTTCAATTCACATTAAAGAATGAGACATCAAGACCACTCGATTTATCTTACCATTGCTTGTACAACCCTGTAGTTTCTAATGCTATTGCATATTATCACGTGATATAATATAAACTTGCATATTTTGATTGAATTCTCGGGAATACTGGAATATGCACAACGAACAAAGCAATTATATTCTTTGTTGATTATGATATTAATACTCACCCATTGTCAGATGCTTATGACGTCGATATTCATTTACGGTATGTAAATTTAAGGTTCAAGTGGCTGTGGCTTTTTTTAGCAAATTTCGATTGTGATACAATCATACCTTATTATCAACAATAGCTGCTTATTAGATATTATGAACTTGCATGTTAACATTTCATTTACGTAATAAACTTGTGCAATATTATAATTTCTTTCCAGGGATTAGATTCTTCTTATCTGTTGTGTTTGTATCGTCTATTTTTAGCACCAACAATTCTTTTGATAGCGACAGAAATCGCGCACAAAAACCACACATTTCATTCACAATGGATTGTTGTTTAATTTATTAATCACATGAAAATATATAAGTTATTGAATATACATGGGTTTTATACAGTTCGTTATAATGGAGGGAATAGAGCATATAGAATCAGATAAAATATCGGAATCAGACATGTTTGTAAAACATATGCGCGAAAGTACCGTACATAATTTCACGGGAATGAAACTGTCCCATTGCTCCAGTGCAGTTCAGTTGATCTTTGATAATAATTTGCACATGTTAATATAATTTCTACAAGCAAAAATGGGTTCCTTGACTGTCAAAAAGGAGATAATTACCATTGTTCACCTGCTTATCGTGAACTGCCCCTCCCCACCATGTTATTGAAGAGAGAAAGAGCAGAAAGAGATATTTTCCTGTCGGTTTCGATTCAGCAAGTCCCAAAGACAAGGGCTTTTCGACGTTGAGTTTTCGGAACTTGTTTAATCCGATTTTGTTATCATAAATCAATTTGTTTATAAACAATGTTATTGCGCAAGTCATTTCGAAAATATTTGAATAGATAATCGAAGAACAAAGATGCATATTTATACTGTAACATCAATTTCAGGGGTACTGGTAATATTTGTACAAACAGTAACACAACCTGATTGCATATTTAGTATTCAAACTTACAAGATGCACAATGATGACAAAGCGAATGTAAGCCACAAACTGTTAACCATAAAATAATACAGCAAACTTTTACTACCGAGAAAAGCTTGTTGAGAAAGAAGCAAACAATTGATAAGTTTCAGTTTATCTAACAAAATGTTACACTACAAAGGAGATCGAATGGGGGAACGTGCGAACAATCTCCAGCTCTGCAGTCAAACAAAGCAAACGGCGATTTAACAGTTTCTTTGCTTACTGTTCAATCCACTTGGGCGTCTTACCAATTTAGGATTTTATTTTTGTGCAATTGGTTTAGCTTAGAACAGTTTATTCTGCTTCTTACCCATTTAAGGAATGTTTGATATAGCGATACTTATTTGTCTAATTATGCTTCCCACGAAACCACTGGTTCGCTAATGCAATTAGTAAACGTAGACAAACAGATAAGCAACGCATCGATAGCATAACTCGGCGTTCACATTATTTGATCAACTTCATATTGTTTGAAAGCTATTCCGTACCCCGAGGAGATATTATTGTTTACTCGTGTTGCGAGAAACTTGTCGTACCACAGTGATAGGCAATCACCTAAAATTTGTTTAACTTGCAATGAATGTAATCAATTACGTTTATATCGAATTTTGATCATGATTGAGAAGTGACAGGGTGGGAACATTAATTAAGCCTTCTATCTCTTCTAATTTTCGTATTAATGTAGAAATTTGATGTTCAAGACCAATACGAGTTACTCCTAGTTATTATCATGTGATATATCCTTAAAGAATTACCAGCATCACCTGATGTTACCCAATCTTCAGAACTAGCGGTCAGCTGATGCGGTCTAAACATTAAAGCATGCATTTCATTATTAGTCAATGTATGAATGGCATGAAGATTTGCTACACCGTTTTTACCTTTAATCCTGCTTTCATACCAATCTTTACATCGCTTTCAAGACAATTTCATGAATTCTCACGTATATTATGTCCAGCACCTGGGTCATAATTAGCACGTTCACACCATGGGCGAAAATCTCTAATAAATTCTGGATCTGTTAATCCGCGAAACTTTGGTAGTTCATATCCTGCCATGTTTCGGTTATTATTGTGATTGTACGTGTACATGTAGCGTGTATATGCCCCAGATCTAAAATCCTCTGATTTAAAAATCAATTCGGTCTTCTAATCCTAAATTAGCATCACAAACTAGTTATGTTTTAAATTTCCAACTTTGTATATTTCATATAATTTGCACGCTATTGGCACACTTTTTGCAAAGAGCTTAAGAGCGGAAATTTCAGATAATAATCTGTCTTATTTTTTCACTTTCAAAAAACATTTAATAATTTTCGGCTCTATATTTTCTTTACACCTAGTTCATTGAACTAATGAATCTGCATTAAAATCCTGTCACCTCTCGCAATCACGAATCGCCATCTCTGCACTTTCCATTGATTGTGCTAAATCGTTGCTTAGTCTTACTATCTCAATTTGAGCTTGGTTGTAAGAATTTCTAAACGTCTTAAACTTTCTCCAAATTATCATTCTTTCTCTTGCGGAAAAATATTGTAATTTGTCTCTGATTGTTCGATAGAATTGATTTACAGTAAATCAAATATTCTATCGTCTGTTCTTGGCGTTTGTGGGAGCGGAGTTAAGAATTATATATTTTTTTGTTGTGTTAATTCTTTGATTCTTTTCTTAAGTCTGGAATTTGACTATTCTTGTTATCGATGACTGTCTCGTTTCCATTCTCTTGATCTAAGACTTTAGAGTCCTGCCGAATTAGCTCCTTGCAATTTTCTAACTCTCACATAAGTTACGAATTTTTCCTCTCATGAGTACGATTTATGTCTACCTCGCGATTTAATTTCTTCCGTAATTCTACATTTGTTTGTGCAAGTTACGCAAATGCCGGATAGATAAAAACCTCCTTGCTCCGCGAGTCTACCACATTAGAAACTTTTTCGAATTTATTTCTCTGTGCTCATTCATTGTGCAATGGAATATGTATTTTGATAAATAATAGCAATTATCCTTTTTTTTTCTTCAAAGAGATTGATTATTCAAAAAAAAAAAAGAAGCAAACTTGCTAAATGGCGTGTATTAATAATTCTTATACTGAATTTATTTCAATGTTGATTTGATAAATGAGTAATACTTTATCACACATCTAATAATGACTATGATGTTAGTTTAGTTGTCACGTGCAATGTAACACAATAAGTTGAGAATTATTTGAAAAAAATTTTTTTAATTCAAATTATGTCGGGGTTTATTAATAATCCAGCAATTGACAACTTGGTTCAATCCTCCTTGGAAAGCGAAAATGAATACTTAAGACTGAAATGGATTCCTTACGAGGAAATTACCGACATAAAACCAACTCAAATTGACAACGTCTACAACGCTACTCGCAAATACACAATAACACTGGTATGCCTTGGTAGTAGCGAAGAATGTACACCAACACTTGTGAATGAGTTTGCTAGAATATACTCACTTCCAACACAGGATGACAATGATGTTAATCAGTTCAGAAGATATTCCGTATGGCTTAAGGAACGCAACGACCTCATAATTGGATTTACCAAGGATGGCGATAATTATTACATGGTTGCTAATAAACTCTTTTACCACTGTTATTCCCGATATGGATTCTGCGCTGTATGTGGAATACTCCGATGTAGTCCTGTGTGGTGCATTTGTGGACATAAACAATTATCCGATGGATGGACTAGCAACAATAACCAACTCGATGAGTTGATTAAGAAATCTCAATTACAAACAAACTCACCAAAACATGCCTATTTGGAATGGATTCCATTTGACTGTATTGACGACGATTGGGGAATTAAACACTTGTATGGTCTACCTGCTGTAGCTGTTAAATTGACTCCGCTTGAGATAACAGACGAGACACATGATTTATATTATGCCGAGGTAAACTATTTACTTATGCGT